CTGATCACGTGACCACGTTGACACCTGAGCATTGCGCCCGAGGGCAAGTTAAAGGTAAAAGACAAAACGGTCATGAGAGAGAAAAAAAAAAACCCAGCGCAGCCGTATTCCACCGGCTGCTCTGTCAGAGCGTGGTTATCGCACAGAGACATTGCACCGTGCTTCCTTCACAGGTATTGGCCAGTGCCACTGCACGCTGGAGGTAATGAGAGGGATTTTGGGCTCGCAGCTACCAAACCCCGACCACCCTCCCCCGTTTTGTCCCTGCGAGTGTGCCCTGAATTTACCAGCGCGCTCGCCTCCGGATCGCGAGCGCATACTAACGAGTCTTGACCCTGTGGAGTGCGATCGCTTGGGAGCGGAGGTTGCTCTTTCTCTGTTGAAACGTTCGTGGATGGGAAATTTCAGAGAAACGGCAGTCCGATCGAAAGGGGAATTCTTGAGGGGTCAGTCCCATGGAGTTGTCGGCAACTTCCTTTTTCAACTTTGTCGCCTCTGTTGGGACAAGTGACATCGAAACAGCCTAAAGCAGACTGCATTGTGGATGTATTGGGAACACGACAAAGGAAAGTGGAAATACGTGAAGAAATGTGCAGTGGACACCAACGGGGTATCTCGGCCATGGATTGTGATGATGATGATGATGACTGCAACCTGCATCTCAACACACGAGTCGGCGAGACGCGCCGGGTGACTTTCCAACGCCGGGCTTCCACAGTGGGCACGTCGCACCCGGGTATCGAACGCAGGGCGCGCCAAGCTCTGACACACACGGGGGCATCAGTGTCGCGATCCACTTAGCGCTCACCGGATTCAGCTCGCGTGCTGCGCCGAGGCCAGCCACGTGGAATCAAAACGCATTACCTCGTGTGACAACGTTGGCGCTCGTGAATCCGAATATTGATAATAAGCCCGTGGGACGAGACTGATGGAAAAAAAAAAACTAAACACATCACTTTGACAATTCACCCCAGGGTCGTTGACGGAGATGTCGGCGTGTTTATTTTATTTTCTGCCAAAAAAAAAAACAGCAAAGGAGCATTTGCCAGTGCGTGAACGGGGGCCTAAATGTCTTAATGGAATCCGACTGCGTGCTGGCACGCCTAGCCACGTGGAATCACAGTGGATGGTGGAAATATTTGCTTAAGGAACTTCAAATGCATAACAGAAAGTCGTACACTGCAGATGCGTACACCACAGGTGCGTGCGCGCGTGAACTGCTCACACGTGGTGGGGTAAAGCCGGCGTGGAAGACGAAACCAAATATCATCTGGTGGGGCACTGTAAAGCTCCCTCGAGTGGAGGCCCTTCCACCAGCATTGGCGTGAGCAAGCAACTTGCAGGGCTGCGTCTCCACATTTCACATGCATCGTGCGTGGTTTAATTTCATGTATATCCAGGTGAGAGCATTTTGAGACTAAATACCCTTTGCGAGTGAGACCTGGCATACAAAACAAAGGTTTAATCTGTGTGCTAGCCATCCTATCCAGCTCGAATCCGATTACGCGTTAACGCTGTTAGCGCTGGTAAATCTGAATGCTAAAGGAGCTCTGTCTACCGAATCCAATTGAATATTAATGAGATTATGAGAGCATAACAAACAGTGGCAAGTCGGATCACATAGAATCCTATATCGCACTCACAATCCTACTCTCTACAATCTGAGTCTAACAGGTTTGGAGTTAACCCGATGAATGAATTAAATTGGGAATGAAACCCATAATGTACGATATTTACGATTGTTTTTCTCTTCCGTTTGAATTAGAATTTTGATGTTGACATCAGCCTGTCTTTAGACGGATACGTTTCTTGTTGGGGATATCTCTCGCACAGCGTGGCTCAACATCGCCCCTTGTTCGTAGGGAAAGGGGATTTCTGGAAGGTGACGTCGCAGGATGAGTGCTTAGGTCGCTTCAATTGCCTCTTGGGCACATTCATGTCGAGCGGCCTCTCACTAATTGGCTTCACAATCGAACCGAGTTGAAATCTCCGGAGCGAGAATATTCAGAATATTTTTTTTTGTGAAAAGCCAAATATGATGCGACGTGGATCGGGAATAATGATTTGACGGTTAGTCTGTTGCGCCAGGCTACATTTGAACAACATTCTCTGAGAGACCCTCTCCATCAATGTGCTACAGCAGCGTTGTTGTTTGCATGGAAATTCTGGCCCGGTTTTGGATATCCCGAGGCTCGTCGGTCGACTGTGGCCTGTTTAAAACAAATGCTGTCGTGTTGCCTGATGTTATTATTGGCAAGACCACTTTATGAACACCATGGGACTTGTTCGGTGCGGCAAAACTTCTGGGGAAGGGGCGTTTGTATCGCTCGAGACAATCAACTCACAACGCATGAGAACTCAGATTACTCACGGCCTGGCATATCAGAACCCAGGTACTCATCATTTTAAGTCCTCCTGATAGCATGCCTCTCTCGTTCGGCTGTATGATAGCGCATTCAATGCACCGTGGATATGAGAATCATTCAATGCATGTATACTCGGGCTGGTAAACGTAGATTTGTTTTCATGATAAATAACATTGAAAATAAACGATTAAAAAAACGATTGCTGGTTTCACGTGTGTATATATAGCCACGTCTAGCGACAAAAGAAACATGTTTACCTTAAAACTTAGGAACGAAGGGAATGGCCACGGTTTCGTGGCGAGCACACTGTGGATACGCCAGCCTCTTTCAAGACGTCTGGCCCGCGTGGAAGAGTAGGCCAAATACCCTTTGGTGCTCCCTCTAGCGGAGGGTCTTCCGCCAGCAGTGACGCGAGCAGGCAAGGAACTGGCACGGTTGCACGTATACCTTTTCACTGACAAACCAAGGCATATTTACCACGCGGTGACTTAAGCCGCCGTGCTGTGGGCTTAACAGAAAATAATATGTAGGCGACGTTTCGGGCAATGGCCCTTCTTCATGGAGGGTAAGGGGAGTGCTGACTCAACACCCCCTCCTCCGGCTGCCTGTACGTTGAACATATTTCGCACCGTACGTAGCCAACCGAGAAATAACATTCGGCGCCACGTCAAACATTTGTCAGTTCACATCACGGTCCCCGCTTTGTTGAACACAGCCACCAATTAGCACTGCGCGATGCTATGAGTGTGCTGCTGCGTGTTGTGCCTGATGGGAGTACGATGTGTGCTGTGCGCGATATTCATAATGTGCGATGCTTTTGTGGCGTGCATTTGCTTTGCGTGCGTACACTGAGCGGTGTTAGCTTGAGCGTCCCGTGCTCGATGTGCTATGGGAGCGATCATGTGTCGTGTCTGTGTCTTATTTCACGTGTTGCGAGGGATACGTTGTATGCGTGTTGTGTTTCTGTTATGTGCTGTGTATGTGTGTGATGTGTTATGTCTGATGTGTGTGTAGCATATGACGTGTGCATGTGCTGTGTGTGTGATATGTGTGTGTAATGGGTGTGATGTGTATGTAATGTGTGTGGTATGTGTGCTGTGTGTGTAATGTGTGTGGTGTGTGTGCTGTGTATGTAATGTGTGTGCTGTGTGTGTAATGTGTGTTGTGTGTGTTGTGTGTGATGTGTGTGATATGTGTGATATGTGTGTGCTGTATGTGTGATGTGTCTGATGTGTGTGTGATGTGTATGTGTGATATGTGTGTGTGATGTGTGTGTGTGCGTGATGTCATGGAAATCGGTTGCGTAGCGTTCGCTCTCTGCACGACACCGCCCCCAACGCCCAGACGCGACTCGTGACCGTACACGTCGACACGCAGCAGAACGCGGTTTAAGCCACCGCGAGATTTACTCGTCGGAAACATGAAGAGCCGTGGCACCTGCCGTGGATGGGCAGTCGGGCTGATGGTCAACATCGGCTTTGGAGTCGATACTCCGTATCGTGAACCACCGCAATCTGGGCCCCTTCGACGGAGGAGGAAACAGCAAACAACTCCACAGCCGCTTTCTACCGAAGCCCTCCTCGTCGTGGCGAGCAGACATCGGCCATTGGCATTTAGCGCCTGAACGTATTGCCAGAAGCAAGAAGGGAAGAGCAGTGGGGAGACAAAGACGGCCGGGCGGGGAAAGGGGGGGTTGGGGTCACTTACCCAGACGAAAAAAATAAAAAAATAAATTATAATTGGCATTCGCCTGCTTTAATGAAGGACGTTAACATTTTTTTGAATTGTACTTTCCTCGACGTGTTATGATTTCGGGAAACATCACGTAATCCGCAACACCGTCGTGCGTTTGTTAAACAGAGTCAACGCCAACCCGAGTGCATGAATGGTCACACACTCAGGGATGAGCGCACAACGCAGTTGGGTATTGGGCGCACGTGCGCTAATAACCCACGCGTAGCTTCACTCGCAAATGACGCAATCGCTCCGACTGTGAACGTTTCGCGTGTTACGTACGCACGACGTTTTACATCCAAGACGCCTGCCTGGGGGATGAGCGGCGCTGAGCGAGCGAGCGAGTGACGGGTGGAAAGTCGCACGATGTTCCACAAGGGTTAGAAAGCTACGACGTGGTAGCTATATATAATTACTGTGCTTAAATCTATAGAGGAAAAAAAAAACACACACACACATGAACCAAATGTCTTCGAATTTGATCCCGCACACACACACGAGAACCTGTGGACTGAGGCTGATGGGTTTCCCTCCATATCCGCTTGGCTCAGCCCGGAGTTCCACATTTCTACAAGTGTCACAACCAAACACTTCACACATTCAATGACCATCATCCGCTTTGAACCAACCGACATACGGAAACGCACTGTGCGCACACGACGCATGCATGCAACAACGTGTTCGTCGCCTGCGCGTCGGTGTGCGTAACGCGCAGCAGCAGCAGCAGCTGCGGTGCCGTTCCAGATAACCGCGAGTAGTGGCAGCCTATCTGCACACCTGTAGTATGATCACGCCGCAAGCGACAAGAAGGCGGAGGAATAAGGAAGGGGTCGTGCCAACTCAACGGCCAATGACGACGCAATTAGAGCGCCGCTCGCAAACACCGTAGCGTCTACTCACTCGCTCGCCCGGCCTTGCTCCGGTTCAGAAGGCGCTGGACGGTGGCGATGTCTTCGTTCTTCACGGCTTGTACGAGCTCCTGATCCTTGCCCATATCGGCAGCGGCGACGGAGATTCACTCACGAACCGCACGCGCGCACGCTCGCTCACAGACACGCACCGTGCAAGCTAGCCGCCTGCAGACGGAGATGGTCAACAAACCTTTGGAGTCCAACCTCGCCACCAGGTCCACCTCAATTGCCTGGCCGGCCGGCTGGCCTGCCTCCCCTATCTCACCCCGAGTTAACCCTTCCAGCCCGGAGGGAGCGGCGCGTGTACGCAGCAGAGGGAGTCGAGCCCGTTGTGCTTTGGATGTCCTCGGTCCGTGGGTTGAGATGCGAGCCCCGGGCTCCTCGCTTGCTTGTTTTGTGTGTGCGCGTGTTTGTTTGAGAGCGTGTGTGGGATATATGCGTGTAGACGTGTGTTTACGTACGTCTGTGTAACGCGCGCGTGTGTGTTTTTACGTACGCGTGTGTGCGTGTGTGTATGTACGCGTGCACGTTTGCTTGCTCAATTCAGTCTCCGATGCGGGAGGAATCCCCGCCGCGCTTCAGTTGCGCCCCCGCCGCCGCCGCCGCTGCCGCAGATGGAATTCGCCGGCCTGACTCTGGCGCCTCTGCCTCGGCGCGTCCCGCCGACTGGGCTCGCGAAGCGGCAGACATCACAACAGCGGCGTCGGCGGCTTCCGTGGGCAATAGCGCGCAGAGAGGCATTCGTAGGGCTGGGCTCCTCTCGCTGGCTCCCCTCGCTGGCTCGGCTCGCTTGCCTCGGCCTGGCTTTCACGGGCGTCCTGTGCGCCACACCGCGCCAGCAACGGGAGCCCCTGATATCTGCGCCATCATTCTCGCGTATTCCTCGCGCTCCCCCTTCTCGCTCGCTCTTCTCCCCCTCTCCCTCCCTCCCCCCTCTCGCACTCCCGACGTGAGATGCGCGCACACGCGCGCAACGTTTGCTTGCTAGCCGATGAGTCGTTGCAATTGAGTTTTATTTTTTTCTGCTGCGATGATGGTGGTGATGATGGTGGCGGTGATGATGATGGTGGCGGTGGTGGTAGAGGTGATGGCACGGAGTCACGTCTGTTCACACCATCATCGCCGCGTATTCCGAGCCTCCTCCATGAAAAGGAGGCGGGACGTGCTGATGATGTAGCGAGGCACACATAGGTAGGTAGGCTCGCACTCACTCACTCGCACGCACGCACACATACGCATACAAGGACAAAGATCCCCCGTATAGCCTGTCAGACTGGGAGGGCAAGTGCTGTTAACGAGTAGTACCTACGACGGCCGGCACGGCACACGAGGAGGGTTCGTGTGGCCAACACCACGTCCGGCCGCCTTTGTCTCCCCAAGTGGCGATGATTACATATCGCACCGGGTACTCGTTTTTGAGGCTTGAGTAGACCGAGGGGGAACCCCAGGACCGGTTAAGATAGTCACATGCACAGAGGCAGGCTCACACGCACACACGTGCGCGCACGCTCAATCACGCACACCCACACATGTGCAATCACAAAAAGACAAAGATCCCCCGTATAGCCTTCACAGACTGCTGGGGCAAGTGCTGTTAGCGAGCACCTATGAAGGCCGAAACGGTACACGAGGGGGTGGGTGGCCAGCACCACGCCCGACCGCCTTTGTCTCCCCAGTGGCGATGTTTACACACCGCACCAGGTACTCATTTTAGGCTGAGTCGACCTAGGGGAGACCCACGACCGATTCAGATAATCGTCACTGGTGTTGGCCGCGAGCGGCAATCGAACCCCGGGACGCCAGGTTCGTAGCGCAAACCGCTACACTACCGCTCCCCACATGTGCAAGCGCACACTCTCGTGCACACCCACGCATACACCCACGCACACACACACACACTAACCATGCATACGCACGCGACACGGATGTATATACGTCTGCCTTCGGAGCTCGCGTGCACGTGACCGCTATGAGCGGCACCAGCACCACGAAACCATCGTCACCACCACCAGCACCACGAAACCATCGTCACCACCACCAGCACCACGAACCATCGTCACCACCACCAGCACCACGAACCATTGTCACCAGAACCTCGGCACCATCGTCACCACCACGGCACCATCACCACCACCACGGCGCCGGTGGTGCCGTGGTGGTGGTGGTGGTGACGATGAGGATGATAACGACGCTCGTGATGGTGATGGCGACGATCGTGATGATTGCTGCCACGGATGTTTTACTGATGCGGGGTCTCGGTGGGGAGTCAATGCAGAGACGAGGCTGTGTTGCTATCCGATAGCCTATGGGTTGTACGTCGTTCACAACTCGGTGGCCACGTTGCATCCCAAAGGACTGATGCATGTTTGTACGTCGAACTTCTTTCGCGCCGCACATAGCCAACCGTGATAATCGGTGGTGCTGTAGATTCCGCGTGGTCGGTGCGTGTGCGCGTCTGTGTAGGTCGACTCAGCCTCAAATGAGGAGCCGGTGTGGTGTGTAAACGTCGCCACTGGGAATTAAAATTGAATTCACGCGTGCGTTCATGTTAATGGTAGTCAGTTTGAACATTTGTAAAAATATATGACATAACCAGATGCGGTTATTTGTTAAAATAATTATAACAATGTGTCCTGACTTTTGGGCCACCCTGTATATTGGCAAGACACAATTTTGACATCTGCCAGTAATTTCATTCAGCTAACCCATAACACCTGGGGCATGGCAATTGGCCCGCCACCAGCTTGCCTTGGACACTTTCCTGTGGCACCAACGTGCACCTAGCCTGGTACAAGCGCCGCGGGTTGACGTCACCGCCACTTGCTGGCGAATGACGGTCGTATATTGCTTTGTACGTGGGGCAGTAAGGGCAATGTATATGTATGCATTTGAGTGCATGTGTATGTATACGTACGGTGGGAAAGAAGTTCAACATGCATGTATGTATTTATGTTGTGTGTGTTCTTGCCTGTACTCATGAGATGGACTGAACTGCAAATCAGACGTTGAAGGACGTGTGGATGTGCGACTTTGATGATGACAACATTGTTTTAACGAACACACACGTACCGAATACAGACCCTCCCGTATAGCCTACGTAGACTCGTTGTGAGCGAGCACCCATTAGGTCGACTCAGCCTCAAATCATGCCAGAGTATTTATCTACCATGCCATTTAAGGCTGAGTGGATCTACATACGCAAAGACATACCCAGACACACACGATTACAAATAAAGACGTAAAACAGACACACGTTGATGATAAAACACATACAAAACAAACACGTTTAATACGCACGCAAACCGGGGTGACGTCGTCACTGCGTGCCAGGCTAGGTGTGCAAATATACGGGAAGCACACGAACAAAATACGCAGAGAGTCCGTGCAGCTTCCAGCAACACCTCTCAGTAGCACCCCCATCCGATGTCACAGTGGTACAGTCCCCGTGCCGCCCGCGAGAAACACGACTGGCACGTGTACACACCAGCCCCACGTGTATAGAACAACACACACACACAAGTCACGTGTACACACCAGCCCCACGTGTATAGAACACACACACAAGTCACGTGTACACACCAGCCCCACGTGTATAGAACAACACACACACACAAGTCACGTGTACACACCAGCCCCACGTGTATAGAACAACACACACACACAAGTCACGTGTACACACCAGCCCCACGTGTATAGAACACACACACAAGTCACGTGTACACACCAACCCCACGTGTACAGAACAACACACACACAAGTCACGTGTACACACCAGCCCCACGTGTGTACAACAACAGACACAAGTCACGTGTACACACCAGCCCCACGCGTGTACAGCAACACACACAAGTCACGTGTACACACCAGCCCCACATGTGTACAACAACACAAGTCACGTGTACACACCAGCACCACATGTGTACAACAACACAAGTCACGTGTACACACCAGCCCCACGCGTGTACAACACAAGGCACGTGTACACACCAGCTCCACGCGTGTACAGCAACACACAAGTCACGTGTACACACCAGCCCCACGCATGTACAACACAAGTCACGTGTACACACCAGCCCCACGCGTGTACAACAACACACACAAGTCACGTGTACACACCAGCCCCACGTGTGTACAGCAACACAAGTCACGTGTACACACCAGCACCACGTGTGTACAGCAACAACACACAAGTCACGTGTACACACCAGCCCCACGCGTGTACAACAACACACACAAGTCACGTGTACACACCAGCCCCACGTGTGTACAGCAACAACACACAAGTCACGTGTACACACCAGCTCCACGCGTGTACATCAACACACACAAGTCACGTGTACACACCAGCCCCACGCGTGTACAACAACACAAGTCACGTGTACACACCAGCCCCACGCGTGTACAACAACACACACAAGTCACGTGTACACACCAGCCCCACGCGTGTACAACAACACACACAAGTCACGTGTACACACCAGCGACACGCGTGTACAACAACACACACAAGTCACGTGTACACAGCAGACCCGAAGGCGCACGATGCCAAGTGAGAATTCGTTTCGAAGAGCAATGCCCATTTATGGACATGCATCCGCCCGCCCTAATGCTCACTCTGCTACCCTGCCCCGAGCTCTGTTACTGCTGAGTAATAAAACCTAGCGTCATTAGCGTGACAAAGTTTAATTAATTCCCTGCCCTATAAAACTCCCCGGTACCAGCCCGTCATAGGTACAGCGCGATTTGTGTGTGTGTGTGTTGTTTATATCTTCATCTGAACCACAAACATCACAATTCCAAGTGACTAATGTACCCACGTGATAATTCGGACAAAGGTATCAAGTCAGGGGCCGTCCATAAATGACGTCACGCGATTTTTGACGATTCCCCCTCGTCACAAGGCGTCACAAAAAGTCAGACCCCCCTCAAATATGACGTCACAAAGCTCTGCCTCCCCCCAAAAAATATATATGCTTCATATCGCTTTAAACTATTGTCATTGTAGTGTGTATTTAATGTGGCGCTGCACTCTGTTGTAGGAGAAAACATAAAAAAAGTATATTGAATTAAGTAGAACGTGTCTATATTTATTTAAAGTTGGGCATTTTGATATGACGTCACATTTCTCAACCCCTCCCCCCTCGTCACACATCGTCACAAATGTCTGACCCCCCCCCCCCCAGGTGCGTGACGTCATTTATGGACGGTCCCTAATGTACCCACGTGACAATTCGGACAAAGGTATCAAGCTGCAAGACTTATTCTAAAGTCGCGATGCCGGTGTGCGCACTCGTTCGCGACACTGGACTTGCCATCCAGAGATCGCCGGTTCGATGACACGGCAGTTGAATTTCTTGTCATTTTTAATTTTGATTTAAAGCTGGTGTCTACAAACTAAGTTGCCTCTGTGGTAGTAGTTACATTGGAGAAACCAAACGACATGTCTCGGACCGCATTCGTGAACACAAAGCAGACCTAAAACACGGTAGGACCAACACTTCGGCCGTGGCAGATCACTGTTTTAATTCAGTAGGCTCACATGACATTGACTTCTCCAAGACAGAGGTTCTTTGTAAGCCATCTGGCTACCATGAGAGATTCGTTCATGAGGCTATCCACATATACAAGCACAGAGACAATTTCAACCGAGAAGATGGATTCTGGCTTAGCAATCATTGGAAAGATTTGATAAACCATTTCAGGTCTTAATTGATTGTTCACGCTTATGGTGGCTTTCAGACAGCATACATTAATTTTTCGTCTCCCCCCTCCTCTTTTCAGAACATAGATGGACTAGTCCTTCTAAATAAACTGCCAAATCGCTGCGCGTGGCGCTGACGTTTTTTATAAATAAATAAATACACCGTTTAAAAATAAATGAATTAATGCAAACCGGCACACCTGTTGGTTGAAACGTCGTGATAATTTTTATTGTTTTATATATATTTTATTATTTTATTGTTTCCCTTCAACGTGACTTTACCGAAAGAGCTAAGAATATTCTTGTCATTTGTTTAAAAAAAAAGCAGACACAAGCAAAAAAATCCGATGCAAAGATCCCCCGTATAGCGTTAACGGGCTGTTGGGACAAGTGCTGTTGGCAAGCACCTATGAGGGCAACACACACACACACATATAACACGTGCGCTTGGCTCACGCAGTGACTCGTGCCAGGCTGACTGGGAACGTTAAGTGCCGTTTAGAATTCCCAGAACTTCCCAGGTAGCCTGAGGGTTGACGCTATGACGTGAAGCCATCGAAG